AGATATTTATTCAGTATTTATTTAAGATATAAAAACTCTATTAGGTTTTTACTTTAGATTTAAACAATTTTTATAATATTGTAAAACATAATTGAGTTTACATTTTAAAAGTCATTAGGTATTCATTTAAAATTGTAAAATGCTCACTGTGTATTTATTAGTATTTATTGAAGATTTTAAAAGGTCCATTCAATATTTATTTGAGATTTATTGAAGATTTTAATTATTTTTATAAAGTAGTAAAACTAGAAGATGATTAGAATTTCCACTAATCTTGTTTTCTCTTACTAAGAAGATTGAAAAGGCACATGGAATGATTATTATTGAAAATATAATTGTTACACCCCAAAACAGAGAACAAAACAAATGCCTTATACTTGTAAGAAGGTCCCATAAATGCACAAAGTTTGAAGCCTACTTAATTTATATTTGACAATCCAGTAAATTAAGATCCATAATTTTATAATAAATTCTAGCTTGAAATCCAATGTTTGACTAGGCCAAGAGTGTATAAAAATTATACAACTCCATTACTAAGGTTATAACTATCTCAAGGGGGATCTAGTATACAAAAGAATGATCTTTCTTCCATCATCTATGTCCAAAAATATGTAACTAGTGGCCTAACTCCACAATAATTTAATCCAAAATACAAATGGTTAGCCTTCTAGCTCATCACTCCCCTTGGATTCCCACGCCTTGAGTCTCACTACTTGAAATAGTGGACAAAGAAAAATTATGTGAGATAACTCAGTAAGTAAAATATGAATAGCTCTTGCTGAAATTTTAAAGCATGCCAAGTAAACATTTAAATTTTTAATAGGAATAAAATCTCAATTATAAATCATTTATGCATACTAAAAGTTATTTTGTAATCCCCTCAATTAGTCATGGCCAGTATACTCTCCCAACTGGCTTGATAACAGAAATACCAATGTACTCTTCCACTAGTTGGATAACAGAGATACCGGTGTACTCTCCCACTAGTAAGATGAACTGCTTCTACAGAAATACATGTCGACATGTGCCAGCATTTAACTCCCACTCGTAGGATAACATAATTCATGACCATATTGGAGACAAAACCATGCAGGAGTTAACAGGAAAATTCATAATTCACAAACCAATTTCAGATCATCAAAACAATCAAGTAAATTCCATGTAGCATGCTCGACTCAATAACATAATACAACTTTATTTCAAATCAATCATGCTCATGAGTTGACAAAAATTGGGTTAGGTCTCGCCACCATCTCAAGATAATTCAAAATATGCTTTCAAAACCTTTACCTTGAAAATCAGGCATTTACCAAACTTTTACTTACCTCCCCTTGTCGCTATACAAAAAGCAAGAATTCAGTTCTCAAGGTGGTGGAGGAGATCTAGAACCTATACCACATCAAAGAACAAACAAGATTACAACCTACCCCATTTAGCTAAATTGATTTCCAATTCTAGTATCAAGTTTCTAACCAAAGAAACAATTTCTTCCTACACATACTTACTATCTCTACCCATTGAACCTTACTAACATATTAATTTGTTTAACCATACTTAGAGTATGCTTAAAATAGCTCCAAAAATCACACACAGCAGTAGGTATTTCTAGGCAAAAATAGCAGAATTTTTTGGGTAAAAGTAACAATAATTTATGGGCAAAACAACAAAATTTTTTGGTAAAACAACAGAAGTTTCTAGGCAAAACAACAGCAATTTATGGGTAAAAACAACATAATTTTCTGGATAAAATGGCAAAATTTCCTAGGTAAAAATAGCAATAATTTATGGATAAAAAAAGTAGAAGTTTATGGGCATTTCTGTGCTGAAACAACAGCCAAAAATGAATAAAACTCAAGAAAAACTAAGCAAAACACAACAGCGATCAAGTAGAAAAGTCTGGGTTGTTCTAAGCAAATTTTAGCGCGGCTAGTGCAGTAAATTTCATGAGCAAATGCTGTTATATTGCAATATAAAAACCAAGTGATTCAACTACATTTTGAGAGCAAAAGTGCACATTTTAGGTGCTAAAAACTAACAAAAACCGAAGCGTAACAAGGACTATAATTGAACAGAATTTTAACACAAAACAATACAATTTACAGCCACAAAATTACAATTTTTTTATCTGTTATAAAAATAGGAAATCAATCCAGTTATGTCAGTAGTTGGACATGTAGGAATTTAGTAAAAAGACTAGAGCAACAAGGCAAAATTTTGAACAACCAAAACTGGGCAACAACAAAGGTGTTTATAGTAGAATTTTGACAGATTATAACCCTCTTTAATTAACAAAGTTTAACGCAGAGACAACATCAAGGTTGATCATAATCCACAAGGTTTTAAGGGGTTTCAATTTCGAGATCCTTTCAAGAAAATAATGAACAAACAACATAAGATCCCACGGAATTTTCAATCTCAATCTTTCACATAGCCCTCCCAAAAACCTCCCTCTTGGTAGAATTACTCAACCATAATAGTAAAAAAAAAAGGATAAGTGCTAACTGGTTTTCGAGCGTAAATTTTAGCCTGTCGACCCCAGGCACTTCAAGTGAAACAAGGGTGGTTGGAAGTTCCCAACTTAAACAGTCAATATTCACACTGTTTCTATTGGAATTAAGGAAAGGAAATAATTTCCTGCTCAATCGTACCAAATGCAGGTGAGGGGCTGCGGGTTTTTCTAGAAATGAAGACCTGAGTTGCGAAGATGACAAGAAATTGAGGAGGCCAGTGATTTCTAGTAGAAAAGAGAGACCCAAGAGCTATTGAAGATGATGCGTAGCTGCTGTGAGGTGGAGATAGTGGTTTGCAACTTAGGGAGTTGGGAAATGCGGAAGAGAATGGTTTGGAGGGGTGAGATCGGTGGTGAAAGATGATGAAGAGCAGAAATTGGTGAGAAATCAAAGAATGGTCATGATGGTTGCTAAATATAGGGTTCCCAAATGAGAAAGATCGGGAGTTTATACTCCTTTCCCTTTTCTTTTCTTTTTTCTTGTTGTGTAGCTCCCCACCTAGGTTTTTAAACTTGGTCATTAGGCTCAACAAATGATAATTTCTCCCACATAAATCCTTAACTTAAATTTTAATATTTTAGAAATTTAGGAATATTAGAATATTTGGGTTCCCATTGAAATATAATTGACATATTAGAGTCATAATTAAGTAGAATTGCATTAAGAGGAAAGTTATTACATTGAATCTATATCTTTTTTTGGGCAGGTATATGAAAATATAGTTGAGTCTAGATTATAAAAAGCCTATTGAGTATTCATTGAAGATTTTAAAAGGTCTATTAGGTATTTTTTAGTAATTGATGAAGATTTATTAAGAATTTTAAAAGATCTGGATATTTATTAGGGACTTATTGAAAAATTTAACTTTTATAATGTGGTAAGTTAATTAGCAAAACTTCAATCAAAATTTAATTAGAGATCAAAATGAAGTCATAATTAGTAAACCATGAAAGTCTAAATTTAATTAGAATTTGAATTAAAGTTGGGTAATATAGTTGAATTAGAACAGTAGAGTCCTACTCATCCACAATATATATATATTAGACTTCTCAGTTTGAGTCGTACTTTAAATTCTTAAAAAATGCCTATTAAGTATTTATTTGAGATTTTGAGTGTTTTAAAGTGATTTATGAAAGATTTTAAAGGGATTTATTGAAAATTTTAAAAGGCCCATTGGGTATTTATTTGATATTTATTGATAATTTTAATGATTTTTATAATAGAGTAAGATATGATGTGTAAATTTAAGTGGAATGTATAAAAATTATTTATTATAATTGTTCTTAAATTAATCATGTTGTTGTTTTATTTCGTTACTTTTATTAAGATGATGGATGATTGCAGTTTGATGTATAGAAGTTGAGCTCTTTGTGGAGAAACTATGATGACTTTTACAATGGAGTCAAAAGTTTTCCTCAATTTGTATATCATAGGTTGGCCTTGGACCTAATGACCCAATCTGATATACTTGTAATAAATGCATGAATTTTCTGTTTAGAGATGGAGGAATTATGTGGCACCACTTGGTTCATAATGGTTTTATAAATGTTTATTTTGTTTGGTAGAAGCACAGTGAAACATTTTTGAATTTAGTAGATTCGTGGTCTGTTGCTAACACAGGCAAAATCATCGAGCACTAATTGTGCACACCTGACACGAACACCTTCTGTGAAATAGTGTATGACAGCATTTTGTCCAAAGGATGATGATCATAACTCAATGGAAACAAATTTTCCTAATCAACCTTTGGACGAAGACCCAAATAATCAAGTGAAGGTTTTCTAGGACTTTCTTCATGCATCCACAATATTGCTTGCTAATTCTGGTAGAAATGAGATAGTACTCAACTAGGTCACCAATATGTTGTATATTAAGATTGAAAATAATATAACTAGTGTTGATTATAATGCCATCATTGAAGGATGTAGGAGGTTGTTGACTCCTAAAAATTGAGAAAAAGTTTTTACTAATTTCTACAAAGCAAAAAAGTTTAAGAAAAGACTCGGTTTAGGTTATGTAAAAATTTGTGCATGTGTTAATAATTGCTTTTGATATTATAGAGAGCATACAAAAGCATTGACTACATGTCTAGTTTGTGGAGAAGCTAGGAATAAAAAGAGAAATCCAGATACTTGCTAATAATCCCAATAAAAGGACGTCTCAAGAAATACTTTGAGGTACTTGCCAATAATTTCTCATTTTTAGAGGTTATACACATAACATGCATATTGCTTGATGGAGACATCAATGATGAAGTAATTAAATTACACAAATATTTCAGTCACAAAAAGGTTAGTCAAAGCCATTGACATTTCTATTACTTTTAGTTGCCGTGATGTGCTGCTAGATATTACCCTTGATTCATATGACAAACTCATTGTCATTATGATAAAAATTTAGAGGGTCACACAATTTATGCACATTATGGGATTGAGATTTCTATCATCCAAGTTTATGGAAATAAATTAATTTATGTGAAAAATATTATTTTCTCAAGAAAAATAAATTAAACTAGTTTTGGAATTAAATTAGTAGAATGAAATAAATTTATTTCATTTGAGTTGGTTTAATATTGGATTAGTTCAAGCATTAGAATTGGAGAAATCCAAGGTGGGCAATGAAGCCCACTAGGGTTACATGGCCGAAACCCTAACCCATATGGACTAGAGCTTCTACGGCACCATGCACTAAGGGAGTGCATGGTGTACTCTTAGTCTATTAAGGACTAGGATGTGTGGTACGGATAGGAAAAAATGAGGAAAAGTCTTCTCCTTAACTAGAAGACTAAGTTTTCTAATTCTAATTAGATTATACTTATTATAGTCTTTTTTTACTACTCCATCCCAAAATAAAAGACATTTGTTTAATTTAAAATTTGTCCAAAATAATATTTGTTTTTTCCTATTTTGAAGAAGACAAATAGTTTTTTTCAACTTTAACCTTATGACTATCTCTCAATCTTAATTATCCATCCTCTTATTAAAATAGTTTTTTATTAATTATTTATTTTTTAAGGATAAAATAGGTTAAAATAAAATTTGTCCCTAAATTCTTAATATGAAAATAACATTTATTATTCTAAGATGGAGGGAGTAGGAGACTAGTTTTTTCTAATTCTAATTGGATTAGAATTACTATTGTCTTCATGACTCCTATTAGTATAGATGGGAGAATAAAAAATTGTTTTCGCCTAAACTACTTCATTATAGACCTAGGCCACTAAAAAGAGAGGAGAGAAAAATATTTTTTCTAGTGAGAGCTCTATTTATCACACAAAGCAAGAAGAATTAATCAATTCTTCTTAATTTTATTTTGCAAAACCACTAACAACAAAGAGAGAAAAAAGTCAAAATTCACTTTAGCTAGTGTCATGCCCCAACCTAGGGATTAGGACATGACAATGCCACATACCTTTAGGAGTGACCCCAAAGGCATGTAAGGCTAAATTAGTCTCTAAAATTCATCCATGCAACTTTGCATAAAATTTATTCTTCACTTTTAAGAAAATAAATAGTAATAGTAATAATAATAATAATAATAATAATAATCCATCATTTAAAGCCAATTTTAAACCAAGAATCTTAGGTGTAACTAGCACTAAAATAAAATCTCTTTGTTTCAAATGTCCACGAAATGCTAAACATAATAGGAAAGAAGTAAATAATCTATTGCTAAGGTGGCTCTCTATTTCCCTTGCATCCCAGATGCTCCATGTTTAGCATCTAAAAACATTAAATAAAACAATGTGAGCTCCACATGCCCAATAAGCAGCATACCTAACTAGTACAACCAAGCATAATTATCTTAATTAAAAAGTGATAGAAAATAAGTAATAAAATTATATTGGATGAAACAAATATAAAGACTCATCAACAAAACAATTTCTCAATCCCACATGGCTAAGGCACATGAATATCAACTGGTAGGAAATCTAACATGGTTTGTCGTTCGATAGTCTTTTACGACAAAAAAATTGAACTATTCAATGGTCTAACATGGTTTACCGTTCGATAATCTATTACGGTACAATAATCTAAAATGATTTCCAACTCAAATAGTTACCATCAAAACCCCTGAGGTAGGGTTGTCCAACTATTCCATGCAAAACAAGTTACCTTAATTTCAAATAAATTAATTGTCACGTCCCAGAACCCAAATTCGAGGCGTGACAGGCCATGCACTCGTGAGAGGATCCCACAAATGCACAAGGCTCGGAACTTATTCAATTTACATCTGGCAATCCAATAACTTAAATCAAATATTTCAATTTATTTCTATATCCAAAATGACTTAAATCCAAGTATTTGATCTAATGACCAAAATCTGTTTTGATCTCATAAATTCAAGGTAAAATCTATCTTACAAAAGTATGATTTATTTCTAAAATCTATATCAATCTCGAAATGGCTAGCCTTCTAACTCATCACTTCTCTCATTTTTCCCTGTCCTTGACCTCGCTTCCTGAAATGGTGGACAAGGAAAAACTATGAGATAACTCAAAAAGTAAAATATGGATAGCCCTTAATTAAACTTATAGCATGCCAACAAGTGCAATCACAAAGAACAGATACGGGTACGGAAACGAAATAGACGTCTCCTCTATAAGTCATGGCCAGCGTATAACACCTATTGGCAGGCGTTAGAATTTACCAATGTGTTCGCCCATTGGCAGGCGTCAGAATTTATCGGTCATATCAGTAAACATGTCGACATGTGCTAGCGTTTAACCCCCACTAGCAGGGTCATTAATAACATGACCACATTTGAGACAAAACAGGCAGAAATTAACAAAAAAATCATAATTCACCAATCACTTTCAAATCATCTGGACAATCAATTAAATTTCAAGTAAGCATGCTCAATTTAATGAAAAGCATAAAAATTTCATTTCAATCGATCATACTTGTGTAAAACGGGTTTAGTCTCGCCACCACTTCAAAAACAAATCAAATCATGCTTTTAAAAACTGTATGGGCATTACCATAAATTTACTTACCTCACTTGCATAAAACCGAAGACTCGATCTTAGTGCTAAACTGACAGAACGATCAGGAACCTAATCAAAATACCAAGAATTAATTACTGTACCACTGATTCAAAAGCAAAATCACCATGACTACCTCCTAATCACGATGCTATTCCTATCAATCTCCATATGACCAGACCTCTCCAAATTTGTTCTTATATTACAAACAAAACATTTAAATCTTCTTATCATTGGCCATGAGTGCGTGAATAGTAATCTGTGGACAGTGCCGTAAACAGTACCCGTGAACAGTAACTGCACTTCCAAAATTGGCCAAAACACTAGCTAATTTTACGGGATTGTTCTCCAAAATCTCATAGCAGTCAATTAACACTCAATCACATAAATGCCACTTGAATTAAGCTAAATCATGGTTTAATTACTATCAAATTTCTCCCCTATTTTCAGTAGATTTTCGGACACACAAGGCAGCAAATAAATGGACAAATTCGGGGCTTGGAGGGCTGTCAACATACCAGAATTTGCAAGCAAGGAAACCGGAGCTGCAGTTTGGGGAGGAGGCCGGCGGGATCTGCAGGGAAACTCACGGAAATCTACCCAAAAATTGAAGGAAATAAGAGCAATTAAAGTAAACCCAAGGCAATTAAAGCTGGAGAAGGGAGATTCATGGTTGTTTCTTACCAGAAACTGGAGAAAATCAAACCGCACAAAGCCGGAGCAGCCGGCGGTGAAGACAGAGCAAGGCAGATCCGAAATTTTCTCTGCAGGGGGGGGAGGTTTCTAAGCTCAAATCTGGTTTTTGGACAAGAAAAGAAGGATAAAATCAAGCCTCCTTACCGATTTTCCAAGGCATGGTTGGGTTCCCTTTTTTTTTTTTCTTTCGGGTGGGCTGCAACGGGGAAGAGATGAGCAGAATCGGGCTGAAGAAGAAAGAGGAGAAGGAGAAAAAGTTCAGCCATCCTTATCCATATTTTCCCTCTTTAAGCCCCTTGAATTTAACACAACTTGCCATTAGGTGCACTAATAACATTTCCTCACAAGTTAGTCCCTAACTCACTTATTTATCCTAGAAAATTTTGGGGTATCACATTAATTTTACAATAACAAGTGAAAGAATAATTTATTTTTCCAGCACTTCTAGAAAGGGTAATGCCACTTACCTTAGTTATTGACCTAAGTGAATGCCAAGTGAAGAATTATTTAGACCCTTTTCCCTAGAATGGACTTGGCAACTATTTTCCCCCAAATTGTGCAGTCACCTTACTGCCTTTTTGAGTGAGGAAACTGACGCCCCATGAGGTTTTGCAGAATCGCACATTATTCTTAAATTTCTAGGTTAAGTTTTGCACATTTTACAAGCTACTCCTTCATCTTACCATTATACACATAAGTCCTCATATTTCCACCTTATTGCATACACATCCTTAAGGGATTAAATAATAATAATAAAAATTCTGGGTATTACAATTAGCACTTAAGAGATTTTGATCTTGTCTTAATACCTAAAGCATATATATGGATTATTGCAATAGGATATCTACCCTTGGACTCTAGGCTTCGTGCGTAAGTTATGGATTAGAGCCACGTATCAAACAGACACACTTCTTTGGGATATTGATTGCTAATCTTCTTTAACAGTCAAAGAGACACATTTCTTTGAGATATGGATTCGTAAGTTTTTTAGATAGGCTAAAAGAGGCTTAATTTAATAAATCATCTATTAACTATTACTTTTTTTTTTATTTTAGTCTAGATACCTTGCTTTCTTTCAAAGTCATCTATTAACTTTCAAAACTATTTCATTTTCTTACAAAACTATTTCATTTTCGTCTATCCCATGTAACTCCGTTAATAGAGTTAACGAAATTCTGCATACGGGATCACGTGCTGCCATGTAAGCAACCACATGGTAGTAGCAAATTTCCAACAACATTGTTTTTCTTCCATTTTTTTTTGGCCACATGGTAGGAGCAAATTTTCGGCAACATTGTTTCTCTTTCATTTTTTTGGCCACATTGTAGGGGCAAATTTCCAGCAGCATTGTTTCTCTCTCTTTTTTTGTTTTTTTATCACGTCTCAGGACCAAATTTGCCACATCATTGTTTCTCTTTATTTTCTTTTGTCACCATTTTTCTTTAATTAAAACAAAATTTATCACTAGAAAATAATAAAACTAAATTTTTTTAACAAGTATCTTTAAAATATATACAAATTAAAATATATTTATTATATTTTTTCGATGAAAAATATAAAAATAAATCTTAATTTTACTAACCAACCAATTAAAATCACCTAATATTGAAAACAAAGTTTATTTTTGTAATTTTTCATATAAATTATTAAAAAGTATAAAATAAATGCACTCTTAATTCATATTTTAAAATACATATTAAAAAACTTTTATAGAAATAATGTAATGTTAAAACAAAAGTGCAAAATAGTTAACTCTTTCCTAAAAGAAAAATCAAATATGTAGATTTAAGTATAGAAATTGAATTCTAAATTATGAGAAAGGTAACTGAGTTACGCTTTTGTTTTAATATTACATTATTTCTTTAAAAAAAATTTTAACATGTATTTTAAAAATACAAATTAAAAGTGCATTTATTTTATTTTTTTAATAATTTATATGAAAAATTACAAAAATAAACTTTGTTTTTAATATTAGGTGATTTTAATTGGTTGGTTAGTAAAATTGAAATTTATTTTTATATTTTTCATCGAAAAAATATAATAAATATATTTTAATTTTTATTTTAAAGATACTTGTTAAAAAAATTTATTTTTTAAAATACTTATATTTTAGTTTTATTATTTTTCTAATGATAAATTGCTTTAATTAAAGAAAAATGGTGACAAAAATAAAATAAAGAGAAACAATGATGTGGCAAATTTGCTCCTGAGATGTGACAAAAAAAAAACAAAAAAAGAAAAGAGAAAAAATGCTTTTGGAAATTTGCCCTTGCCATGTATGAAAGAGAAACAATGTTGTTGCTGGAAATTTGCTCTTGCCATGTGGCTGCTTACATGGCAACACGTCATCCCGTATGTAGAATTTTGTTAACTTTGTTAACGGAGTTATGTGGGTTAGACGGGTTAGACGAGAACAAAATAGTTTTGGAAGTTAATAGATGGATTTGAAAAAAAGTAAAGTATATAGACTAAAATGAAAAAAAGGTAATAATTAATAGATGATTTATTAAATTAAGCCGCTAAAAGAGGAAGAATCTTTGATTTTGCTTCCACGACGCACTCTTATAAACTCAACAAAAAATGCACAAAAAAAGGCACAATTAAAAAAAAAGGTTGGTGCTATTGGGACAATCTTTTTTTTTATTTTTTTGTATAACTTTCACATATTATTAAATGAGTGGATGCATTTAATATCATAAGTTCCTCATAAATTAAAAAAATCAATCATTTTAATGACACGTCAAGTTGTACAAAAAAGTGAGACAAAATGGTTGTCCCAATAGCATTTCTCATTAAAAAATATAATTTCCAACTCCACCTTTTTTTAGGTTTTTCTACTTTTTAACCCAGATTATATTAATTTTATGATTTATTCATAAATAAACAATAAGAAAAAACTAGATTTAAAGAATTAAGTTAATTTTATGAATGTGCCAAAAGTAAATTAAGTAAAGAACTCAAGCCTAATACATGACAATTAAATAAGTAGAGCTTCTATATATATATATATAAGATTTTTAATGAATTAATATATTGTATTTAAGTGATGTTGGATATATATAATCAACCACACAACTTCTAATTTCTTTGAATACCAAATGATTTTCGCACTATAAAAAAGAAAGGTTTAAGTACCATTTTAGTCCCTCAACTTATCACTTTGGCACCAAAATTGTCCCTCAACTTTAAAAAGTACCAAAATTATCCTTAAACTTTCATTTTTGTACCAAAATGGTCCTTCCGTCAGTTAAATGCCAGGTGGCACGTTAAGATGCCACAAAATCATTGACTTTTTTAAATTTTAATTACGTGTAAATCCAACAAAGAAAATTTTTTATACACATGGCATATTTTTTACACATCATATTATCACCTTTTTAACTTTTCATTTTAATGGGGCCCATGTAACAATTTTTTAACTTTTCTTATTCCTTCTCTCCTCTCTTTTCTGTTCTTCTTCCTTGCCAGATCTGGGTTTGATCAAAACCCAGATCCGTTCTCCTTTCTCTTTCTTCTCTAGAATCTTCCAGTCTTTGCTTTCGTCTTCCCCATATCTCACCTTTTTGTGCCCGGCAGCCCTTGGGCTTGCCGGATTTTTGATGCTTAAGCCGCCGGGATCTCCGGTTGCTCAAGCATGATGGAGCCGATTTCGTGCTCCCAGTTCCGATGACCCTTCTGGTGGCCTTTTTTTCTTGTTTTTTTTCTGTTTTATCTGGTTGTTTTGCTTGTTTGTTATCAGATCCGGTGGCTACCATCCATTACACAGATCTCCAAAGGTGGTCGTCGGATTCCCAGATCTGGTGGCCATGGAGCCTCTCACGGGAGATGGTCACCGCCTGATGGGATCTCCTCGCCCTGGTGTCCTTGTTTCAAGAATTGCTGTGGTTTTGCTACGACAAATTCGTCATGAGCGGTGAATTTGAAGATCGACTCCGAGACGAACCTTCCTTCTTCGACAGCTTCCACTTCTCGTCGAAATAGAAGTTCGGCTGTGCGGTCGCAGTTGTAGCCAGCGCGGTAGCCATGGAATTGATTCTCAGGGTAAAAAACGGAAAACAGACTTGAAGCAAAGAGAGAAAAACTTGAACAGAACAGAACAGAACAGAGGGGTATTGAGTTGTTGAGCTGAATTCACTGAAGAAGCTAGAGAGTGAGGGTGGGTTTGGGGTAATATTTGATTTAATTTTGCAGGAGTAGTAGTAGGTTTAGGGTTTTGAATTTGAAAAGGAAATGAAAAGAGAAACGAAGATAACTTGTGATTTTTGGGGAACTTGATTGAAACTGGAACAGAGAGAACAAAATTTTCATGTGGGCCCCACTAAAAAAAGAAACTGAGAAGATGACTATTTGACGTGTGAAAAAATGCCACGGTGTCAAAAATGTCATTGCTGGATTTACACGTCATTAAAAATTTTAAAAAACCAGTGATTTTGTGGCATTTTAACGAGCCACCTGGCATTTAACTGACGGAAGGACCATTTTGGTACAAAAATGAAAGTTCAAGGATAATTTTGGTACTTTTTAAAGTTGAGGGACAATTTTGGTGCCAAAGTGATAAGTTGAGGGACTAAAATGGTACTTAAACCAAAAAGAAATGATTACTGCTGCATTTGATTTTAATAATTCTTTGTATCATTTTTTGACCAATAAAAGTACAACACGAGTAATAAATACTAAAATTTCACACTTTTACAGTAATCCAAGTAAATAAAAAATATTTTACAATTAGGAAGATTAGCCTCAATCTAAATTGAAACATTATGTACTCATCTTTTGATTGACTTAAGGTTAGAGGGTTGGAGTGTAAGCCATACCAACTAGTTCTTAGACCCACAAGAATGCATCATGGGCTTTCAATTATAAATTTAGTAATTGAAATAGATAATTATAAGTATGATGAGTTGCATACCAATTACTCGTTGTTGACGACCACTTAAAATTTTAAAATTATATGAAAATTAATGAAAAAATTAAGTGTAAGAAATGAAAAAAAAGGAGTCGCTACTCATCCAAATTATAAGGTGAGATAATTCACCTAATATATAAACATTGTTGAAAGTTGCCATTTTTTTTATCTTTGGACATATGATACTAATTAAGTTCCACTTTTTACCATTGTTAAATGTTTAGACTTGTTTCTCAATATTTTATTTACTTTCCTTACCTTTCCTTTACCAATATTTCATCCAAATATATTCTAAAATTTAATTTTATTGATCTTTTAATAGGCAACAAAGAGAGGGGGAGTTAGGCCCACACCTTTAGAGTTGTACACATTAACTCACGTAACTCATCAACCTGATGCTTTAGAAGGTGCCCCACTTGTTTGAATATGTCCACAAGCTAAGCAAATATATGTAAGTATCTAATTCTTTTATGATATTAGTCATAATTATTTTAATTTTAATAGAATTTAAATTAGTCTAAGTAATGATAATTTTTTTTTAAACAAAATGGTGCGAAGCATGGGTCAAACAAGGACTTATGGCCAAAATGGGATCCACATATCTAGAAGGAGGTGGTTGGACCCCTTAGAAAAGATGAAAGGGATGTTCACATTGTAGGACCCAACAAAGCATGGCATACCTCGACGACGGTATCAGGTTAGTGATGCCTCATCCTCTACCATTAAGATGCTTACAATATAGGTCCAGCAGTTGTAATCTGAGCTTACACAAGTTCGGGAAGAAATGGTAAAGCGAGTTTAGATAGAAGTGGTTGCACATATTTAAATGGAGGTATCATAAAGAGTTTCAGAGTTGGAGGTTGCCTTTAAAAGGAGATTCTAAGAGCATATGCACTTACTTAGCCAACAGTATTCATCTATAGGTTTTGCATAGCCTCAAATTGGTGGTCCTTTTTTTAGAGGGTTCGGACATGAATACATATCACCTGCTTAAAGACATTGATATTTTGAACTTATAGTATATATGTTTATATATGTGTAGTGTATGTATATATTTTGTGTATATGTAATAACTTAAACTAGTTTTAGCTATGTAGTATTAGAGTTTATATTAATAAATATAGGTTAAACTTCCAATTTGGTCCCTCAACTATTGTACGGACCCTTGATTTGGTCCCTACTATTTACCAACTTCGCCCCAAGTTTGTCTTTCCATTAAAAAACAGTTGATGTGTCCATTATTTAACAACTAAAAACCATTACTTAATAGCCATGTGTCATGATAATAATGAGAAACGTTATTTGTTTTTGTATGGAATGACCAACTTGCGGCCAAATTGATAAACTATAAGAACCAAATCAAGGATTTTTTTAGTTCAAGAATTAAATTGGGAATCCATACAATAGTTGAGGGACCAAATTAAGGGTTTAATCATAAATATATAATATTAATAAAATTTTGAGTTCAAAGAAATAGCATATAAGTTAAAAAAAGAAAAACAAAAACAAAAATAACACAACACTTTGTAAAGAAATAACATAGTAGTTCAAAAAAAAAAAAAAGAAAGAAAAGAAAACAGCACAGCATACCAATATTTAAAGAAATAACAGTGTGCACAGATTAATATATAACCGACAACCATATTTCTGTTAGTTATATATAATCGATAACCATGTTGTCAGTTATAACAACATAAACGGCAGCAAATAAAAGTTGTTGGTTATACTCAAGCTCGCCTATTTGGCCCAAAAAAATTGAATCCCCAGGCTATTGATGTTACATCCCAGACCCGCAACCTTAGCCCAAAAAAAACTCATGTTTAAGCTGTAACTTTTAGATTAACTCCATTTTAAATAGTTGCAGACTTGCTTCTTAAAGAAAGGATACTATTAGGTCTCCTTTATGAAGCTTTTGAAAACCAATTCATAATAAATAAGCCTTAAACTTTTGAAAAAGGGTATCGTTAAATAGAAAAACAGTTTAAGCACAACTTGTAATAATCAGGTAACTAAAGTTTCAAAGAACAGATAATCATCTCTGTAGCAAACTAAGGAGCTTAGGTTCCAATTAAAAACACATACTTTGAATATTTACACAAGTCCTTGGGCAATCCATGTATACACTTATTTATATAGCAAACTGTCATAAACTAGATTAAGAATTAGCTCTTAAGCTTACTTGATGCCCCATTTGTAAACATAACATATTCTAATTGTCACGCCCCAGAACCCAAGTCCGAGGACATGGTAGATGCCGTGCACTTTGGTCCTACAAATGCACAAGGCTCAAAACTTAATCATATCGCAATCTGATACCACAAAATCTGAAGATAAAATTACAAAATTTGCTCTGATATCATAAAATCTCCAAACAAAGTCTAGCTTACAAGATCATGATTTATATCTAAAATCTATGTTCAATTTACAAGATGGCTAGCCTTTTAACTCGTCACTCCCCTCGTTTTTCCCCGTCCTTAACTTCGATTCTTGAAATGGTGGACAAGGAAAAACTATGAGATAACTCAGTAAGTAAATATGGATAATCCTTGATTAAACTTATAGCATGCTAACAAGTATAATCACGAAAAATAGGTACAAGTACAGAAACGAAATAGACATCTCCTCTATAGGTCATGGCCAGTGTTATAAACCTCCCACTGGCAAGCACACGATTTACTAGTGTATAATCCCACTAGTAGGATAACAAAAACGAACCGGTTCTATCAGTAACATGTCGACATGTGCTAGCGTTTATAAACCTCCCACTAGCGGGCACACGAATAACATGACCATATCGGAGACAAAACCAGGCAAGATTTACAGAAAAATCCATGATTCACAATCACTCTCAATTTTAGAAATAAATCGAAAAATTTCCATGTGGACATGGATTTAATAGAAAAAAATCAGAATTTACAAAATTCTCAGTTTATCAGGGCAGTTAAGTAACTTCCAAGTAGGCATGCTCAAATCAATAAAAAGAATAATAATCTTATTTCAAATCAATCATGCTCATTTTTGTATAAAACGGGTTTAGTCCCGCCACCACTTCAAAAACAAGCTAAAATGTGTTTTAAAATCGAAGGGCGTTATCATAATTTACTTACCTCATTCGCATAAACCAAGGACTCAATCCAAGTGCTCTAAGCCATAACAGCACCTAATATTCCAAATAAATACATTTAGACTTTGCTAGAATTATTAGCACAACCTCGCAAATTTACTAACCAATGAGCTTCACACGAAATTCAATCATATGACCAAATATCTCAATTTTATTCTCAATATAACTACACATTTAAACCCTCCTATTGTTGGCCATTAGTGCGTGAACAGTGCCTGTGAACAGTACCGTAAACAGTGATCACACCATGAACAGTAACTGCACTTCCATAAATGGGCAAAACAATAGTTAATCTCACGGGATTTTTCTCTAAAATCTCACAGCAGTCAATTAACACTCAATCACATAAATTTCACTTGAATTAATGCTTAAATTTTGTCTTAAAGCGACCGGAATTATCCCCCTAATTAATGCAGAATTTCGGACAGCACAAGCAGCAATTAATTGATGAAATTTCGGGCTTGGAGGGGCTGTCAACATACCAGAATTTCCAGCAAGCAAACCGAAGCTGCAAGCTAAGGGAAGCCGGCGGCAATTCTGCAGGGGACTCACGGAATTAACCCAAAATTGAAGGAACAAGAGGAACTTAGAGTAACCCAAGCCAATTTAAGGAAAAAAAGAGAATTTAATGGCTGTTTCTTACCAGAATTTTGAAGAACTCACACCAAAACAATGAAGAGCAGCCGACGGAAAAGAACAGGGCAGAGCAGATCCGAATTTCTACAGAGGGGGGGGGATTTCCAAGCTTAAATCTTGTTCTTGAACAAGAAAAGAAAGGCAAAAACCAAGCTCTCTTACCGGTTTCTCAAAGGGAGGTGCGTCGGTGGCTGGGCTTCCTTGCTCGATGCAGGGGGAAGAAAAGAAGAGCAGAAACGCGAAATGGCTGGGGAAGAAAGAAGGAAAAAAAATAGCTGATCCTTATCCAAATGTTTTTCTCTTTTAAGTCCCTCAAGTTTCAAAATATTGTCACTATTAGGCCTCAAACAATATTTTTTTCCAAATAAGTGCCTAACTTAAATGATAAAATTCCCAAAAATTTGGGATATTACACTAATAATGAAAAGTTCTTTTATAAAACATTAAGCTAGGATCCGGCTTTAGGCAGATACAAGTTACCACAACAAGCCTATAAAGCTTATTCACTACCAACACCCATAGGAAACTCTTGGTCTCCTAAAAATTGTTGATCTCTTCATTAGCTAACCTAAAATAGGGTGAACAATACACCATGAGCTATGAAGCCCAATAAGCATAGGTTATAACTTCAGAGCCACAACTGAGATTGTAATTTAACTTAATAAGTTCCATCAATTAACTTACATTGTTCTTCCATGTAAAACTTATGTCGAAATACAAGAATTAGACATAGACAAATCATCATCTCAAAAATAATCCATATTCTCTAAATTAGAACTGTCTAATTTAGAACATGTTAGTTTAATCCAAGAACATGCTTACTTTGTCTCCATTCTAGAACAACTAGAAAAATATGTTCCTTTACCTCAAGAAGCACATAATCAGTTCCATCAAACATTGCTCATCAATACTGAACAGTTTCATCAGTGCCATAAATAAACATGACATAAATACTTTCATTAAATATAAGATAATAGAAAGGCAGCCTTATGCTTGTTCAACATGCAAATGAATGCAAGATTTTATTTATGGATTTTTCCTTGTAGGTGTACATCCCGGTATACCAATGGTCCAACCAATGGTTCTTCCTCCTGTGTAGTGGATCTAGATATCTTCTTTCTTTATTCCAAATACATTAGGGGCATCATTCTTTTACTCTAGGTAACTTTAGGAGTTCTTGCCTAGCTTAGTAACTTAGGTATCACTTTAGATATCTTCTTTCTTTACTCTAAATACGTTAGAAGCATCATTCTTTTACTCCAAGTAACTTTAGCAGTATCTTACCCAACCTAACAGCTTGGATATCATACCATAGATTCATATGCATATTGATGCAATCTTTTACATGTAAGTGCATGTACTTCATATTCAGTTCAGTCCTAAAAGATTCATGTTAGTTTGAACTTAGGCATTCTATTACAATTTGCAAATGCTAAGCATATCTTAGCATGTCCTATGTGATTAGGCTCACGGGTTAATTTTGAACCCAAACACAATTAAATACGCATACATATTTAGACTCACATATAACTTAGAAATCAATATCATTAATTCATAGTAATCTGAATACTCACTTCCAAATTTCAAGTACAGAGCTAATTTCACAAGACAGTAGTCTTAATCATGCTTTGACAAACAGATACCTATTACTAGTTCACTACTTCCTCATGCATGCAATGAATTCTTCTTTTGATGTTGTGTTCAATGGTTGAATCATCATATTCAACTTATCTTAAATCCAATTCACTTTAAATCAATTGATTTACTATCTTAACTATCAATTATAGTTACATAAGTCATAACTTGTAGTTACCTCACAAAGCCCAACACCATTCTTGGTAGGATCCCTTGGATCTCTTCGAGTTCTCCCACTCTTATACAGTAGCAGCTTCTCTGTCATCTTCTCCTTCCTCCTGTTTAACCCACAAGCTCAAAAAATTGAACATGTAGAACCATTCCTCGTGTTCTTCTTCTCTGGTGCTTGCTCATCTAGCATAGCTCTTTGTCCACCTTCTCTTCCTTCTTTGTTAATTCAGTAGGGAATTCCCTTGCCATTTACTCTACTTGGCTGAAGAGGAGGAAAGGGGTGCGAGAGAATGGAAAATGTCTAAAAATGGGTTTTAAACCCTTTCAAAACCAGGGCTGGTTTTGATACCCTGGTTTTGATGGTGGATCCTATTAAATCCTCTTGTTTTGTCACAAAGTAGTGGCATTGGGAATGACAGCCCACTATCTTCATGTATGATTTTAGCCATGCAAACCCATAACTTTTAAATTATTCAACTAAGTCCTCACTAACTAAGGGCTTTTATTTATAATATAATCAAACAAGGATAGGATGTTTCAATTGGATCTGAAAAATAACTAATAGACATTTTAAATATATCCAACAATATTTTTGTCAAATATACTTCAATTATTTATAGGGTTTTGGAATCAGAACATCCAAATATCTTCTCTTTTTTCATTTTCTCTTACCTCTCCCCTCCTCTTTCTTTGCCATAGGTAGGGCGCCCCATTTTTTCTTCCAACTTCTTCTCTTTTTCATTTTCCTTCCCTTTTCGTTCTCCTTTTTTTTCTTTCACTTTTTACCTTCTCAACTAAGAATTTCTATATTATTTGTTATATTAATAGTTATTTTGGTTTTTTTTTTTAATTTTTGCAAATTATATTTCCTTGATTGTGAGGTAAATTCTTCTTTTTAAGTTTGATTTGTACTTTTCATTTTCTTTTACTTCAATAAAATCATAATGTATACCAATGCATATTTCTTTTCTTTTCTTTTCTTTTCTTTTCTTTTTGCAAAAATTTGATATCTAAATAAGCTAAGTTCTCATTTAATTTTATTTATATTTATTTATTATTTCTTATAATGTTATTTGAATAATATTCTTGTTTTTCTATTATTCTTAACATTATTTCATATATACATATTGTTGTGCAACTTGATATTTAGGTTGAATTTCGTTTGATCATTTCTTATAATTTAACTAATAGGAAAAATCACAAATAATGTCCAAATTTTGCTGAATTTTGCACTTTTTTTTTTATAGCTACAATACATATAATTGACAACCATTGACTATTGATAATGTATTTCAAAAAATAAAAAAAATAATCCACAGTAAAAATTTTTGCTGTTGATTATATAAGTTTAATTGACTACTAATATCTGTCGATAATGTGTTTTTATTTTTTTGTAATACATAATTGATAGTCAATTATACAGATAATTGGTAGTCAATGACAACTGATTATATCACTTTTATTTTAGACAAATTTCTCTGTACATTTTATTATCGACAAAAATTTTATCAATTAAAGGTATAATAACCAACATAAAATATTTTTGTCAATATAATCATTTTTTACTTTTGTTTATTTGACAGATATGATTGTTAGTTGTATATGTCAATTATATTTATAATCAACAAAAAACAATTTATAATCAATAGCATTTTTTGTCTCTTATATGCTGTTCTTTAGTAATGTCTTAATTTGCATGAAACTCAAAATAAATTTCCAAGTTTGAAAAATCTATACCTTTGGGCAAATAAACTTCCTAAATAGAATATCTATGTCAATGTTTTATGCTTATTTCCCACATACATCTCTAAAAATTGCCACATGCAGTAGTCAGCTTTGGGCAAGGTACTGCAGGTCTGCAGCAACAACCTTAGAGATTTTTTTGTAATTTCATCATTAGAAAATCTCATCAAATATGATGAATGGGCCATTTAGCAGCCAAACACCCAAATATACTTAACAAAACCTCATAAATTATATAGCACAAGTTGCCCAAAATATTTTGCATACTAGACAAGGCGAAGATACTTGTAACATTAAGTATTATTATTATTATTAAACTTTTTAATTAAATATAATTGGTATTATTTAGAACTAATTTGAAAGATATATAATAATTCAAAATAATTTATTAAGAAACTTATTTGAGAAGTTTTTTCTCCGCCGCAATTAATGATGTAAGCATATGACTTTCTCACATGTGATACTTCATCTAGATATATCGCTTACACACACTAATTGCATCTTGTGTATGGTCTTCAATCCTTATAAGTATTTTAGTTATTTTAACTTTCTAATATACTCAACGCTAATATATCACTAAATGATATATATGATTCCATTATCATGGTATCTCTATCACTTAGTTGAAAATTTTGTTCAAGACATATCTCTTGAATATAACAAAATAATTTTAATTTCCTTTGATCCACAATAAATATCTTTTATGCATATATATATATATAATTATTAAAATAATAATATATTATATTAAAATATGTACTATAGTGTCCAGTACACATTAGTATCACCACAACAATCTCAATATCTTGTTAAAGAATTAAGCTCAAAATATACGTGCATGATTTTCATATGAATTTTTCATCACAAATTTAATAATATTTTGCTAAATATTTACTTCACAGGTCCCACACTCATATTAATATAATATTTTATGTAGTTCTAGATAAATCAATAAAATATTAATTGTTCTTATATATTTCTAATTGTCCTTTTACACCAAACTCCCTTTACTCACTTCATATGATTGAGCCTCGACTGTATAAGCATCAATAACTATTATGTCGTTATAGTGTCTTTGACTGCAGAGTATTTTGTAAACTTTGAAAAACTTTAGAGACAAATTTACACTACACAAAACCTTTAAGGGATTAGATAAGAAAATTTCCCCTTAAGTACCCTAACAACCAGTTAATTGGTTTCTGGTTATACCAACATAATATAGTAGGAAGAGAGTACAAAAAGAAAGAAAACATAGGAAGGATAAGAGGTTAATAAAATAAAGACAGAGAGATGGAGAAATATAAGAAGATGTGCCTACACAATGTAACAGAGTAAAAGTAAAATGAAAGAAAAAAATTAATGAAATAATGTGAGAAAAATTATTTCATATATGCATGATAAACACTATATAATATAGGAGAGTAAAGGTGAAATGGAAGAAAAAGAATTAATGAAATAACATGGAAAAAATCACTTCCTGTATGATAAATATGAGTTTAGATTTTAAAATTTATAGGACTTACATGTGTTTTAAGGCATGCTCTACTTAATGGCAGGGGTGTTCACATCCAATCCAATCCGATTGATCTTACCTAAACTAATCCAATCCGATTGATCTTACCTAAACTGATCCAATCCAATTGATCTGACCTAAACTGATTCAATCCAATAAAAAATTGAACCAAACTGATATAAAATTAGGTTGGTTTGGATTATAAAATTTTAAAACCGATATAATTGGTTTGGTTTGTAATTTTACCTTCAAACTGCCTGAACCGCCCGATTACACAATAACATCCGATTACACAATAATTTAATTAAATAATATAGTATATTTTTTTGTAATATTTTAATTTTTTTTCTTATTTTATAAGATGATAACTCCATTAATTTAATTTAAAAATAAAAATAGGATATCCATATATTCTCTAATTTATTTTCTTTTCTAAATCGTGCACTCTAACTCTAATTCTAAATTTCCAATTCACTTGTAACTCTATTTCTTATAACTAGTTTATGACTCTATTTTGAGAACTCTAAATTTTTAATTTGTTTTTTTAAAAAAATATTCTGATTCTCTTAATTAAATTTTAAGAAATATCATTCTAGAAATCTTAAAACTATATAATAGAACTAAATTTGATATTCTACTATTTTTGGATATTTGGTTAAGAAGTTTTAAATTTTAATTATGAATGCTTCTAATAATTCCTAATGACATTTATGTTAAATTTTAATTGCTTTTAACAAGGTTTGGAAGATGAGATTGAATCATTTGTTGCATTAACGAAAAAATTAGTTTTAATATTTAAGAATTATTTGTACTGTATTTAAAATTTAAAATTATTTTTTATTATTCTTGATGTCTCTAGTGTTGTAGTCAAGAAGAATTTCCAAGTCTTTTCAATTTTTACAATTGTAAATGAGTATAAGAACTTGTTTATAATTTGTGCATTTTATTATACTTCTAGTAATTTGGATGTTAATGTATTTTATAGCTATATTTTTTATTTAATGTTAAATTTTTTTTTATATTATCTCATATATTTAATAGTGTTAAAAACTTATCAATCCGACTTAACCACACCGATCCAATTTAAGTTGAATTAGTTTGATTATCATATAATAATGGATTAGATTGGTTTAAAAATTTTATTAACCAATTAAATTGGATTGGTTTAAAAAATATTAAAATCTAAATCAAACCATACCACGAACACCCTACTTAATGGCATACATTCAAACATTAATTTTACTAAACTAACAATTAATAAATTAATTAGATGTTGATCCCCCAATTACATGAAAATTAATAAAAGTTGGGATTATAATATCAATCAACTAAGAGTAGATTTTTCACGGTACACAAACCTTTTATTTTATTAAGTATATATGAGATTAATTAATAATATTAATTTAAAATAATTATCCTCAATTAATATTATTATAATTAATAATTACCATGAAGAGTCGATATTAACTAACCGCGCGGATTTAGGAGCTAGTTTGGAAAGCAACAATTCAAACAAATTTTCAAAATGTGTAATGATAAGTATGTTACATTTACGAAACATTTTTCTATTTTATTTTTTTAATATGATCATATTAAGGTTTTTTGTGGGACTAAATGGTATAATTTTTTTTCTTTTTGTTTTTTTTTTTTTTTATGAAGTCTTGTTCAAGTTCTAAAAAGGCTTTGTTGATCTTATATATATATATCTTTTATATTTATAGTCAAGGTGTCTCTAAATTAATTTTTGTATATTTTAAAATTAATTTTTGTATATTTTAAAATTAATTTGTTTCCAAGTGATTTGAAAGACGCGTTCTATCAGCCTAATACATTTAAAGAAATTAACCATTTTAGGTGTTAGCCCTAAAATTTGAATTTTGAACCTGCCTTGTAGGAGTGGGGGTTGGTGGCCTCTTTTTTTGCAAAAATTGGCATAAATATCTTTCCCAAACTCTATTTACTCCCTAAACATTATTATTTTAATTTTTATAGTTAACATCCTTTAAAATTTTCACTTATAGTCATTACTCCTCATAATTTGAAAACCCGTAAAAAATCTAAAATTAACAACCAGGTCATGTGCTAGTCAAAGTGAAACTTGCACATGACTGGTGATCATTAAATTTTGGGTTTTTTATGAGTTTTAAATTATGAAGAGTGGTGATATGGAGTGAAATTTATAAAAGGTGTTAACTGCAAAAATTAATAATGTCACTAGTGCAAATAAGAGTCTAACTGTTTGTCTTTATTTTATCCCATTTGGAAAATGATTAGTATATACTCGGTTTAACATACTTTTTAACATATGTTTGGAACAACCATTAAAAAAATAATAAAAGTACAAGCAATTCAATTGTTTCCTATATATTGTGTACCTAATTGTATCTTTAAGTTTATAATTCCTTAATTTTAGATTAAAAAATAATTATTTTTTAATCAATGTGTTTATAATATGTGGAATTAGAGTATTTACAAATCAATATTCATGCCAATTACAACAATAATGTGAAATTTATGAGTTAAAATATACAAAATATATGTTGAGAGACTAATGGTATTAAAGACAAAAAGTTAGAGGGGGTACTAGGTGATAAGAAAATATCTTTTACAACTAGGAAAAATCTGTGAAGATTATGATATGGTAATATTTTAACTTTTATTGTCATCCTATTAATTGCAGGAAACCATTTTTTCACTATAAATGAATACAACAAAATCAACCTTACCGCGCCAAATTGGTAGGCTCCAAACCAAGTTTTCATTCTTTCATTTTGGTTCTTTTGCATTGCTCTCTTGTTTCCTTGTGTTTCTATTTCCATGGAGCAGGCAGTAGTTGTTGTAGGAGCCGGGCCCTCAGGCTTAGCAATTTCTGCATGCTTGACTGTCCACAACATTCCTCATGTCATTCTTGAGAAGGAAGATTGTATTGCATCTCTTTGGAAGAAGCGAACCTATGATAGGCTGAACCTTCATTTAGCCAAGGAATTCTGCTCCCTTCCACACAAGCCCTTTCCAGTTAATAGCCCTACTTTCCTCTCCAAGCGTGAGTTTATCGCGTACCTAGACAATTATGTTTCATCTTTCAATATAAAACCCAATTATCATCGTACTGTCGAGCTTGCTACCTATGATGAAGTTGGAAAGAAATGGAGAATCCGAGCTAAGAACACCCAATCGGGCATTCTAGAGGTTTATGTTGCAGATTTTTTGGTTGTTGCTAGTGGGGAGAATAGTGAGGCTAACATTCCTGAACTTCCTGGATTAAATAGCTTTGGAGGAGAGGTGGTTCATTCTAATCAATATAAGTCTGGTGCAGCTTATGGAAATAAAGAAGTTCTGGTGGTAGGATGTGGTAACTCTGGTATGGAGATAGCTTATGATCTTTCAAACTATGGAGCTCACCCTTCAATTGTTGTTAGAAGCCCGGTAAGACTTCTATTCCTTTTCAAATATATATATTTTTTGAAAACAAGTGTTGGCCTCTAACTTGACTCTAACTACTTCGTTTTAAATAGTGATTTATTGCACTGTTTTTAAACCCAAATCAAACCGGTCGGTCTGACTGGTTAAATCGAAACCAATTACAAATTTGGTTTAAATTATGACAAACTTGGTTTGTAATAAGACCCGATCAAAGTTAGTCAAATCTGGTCAAAACTCAAAAAACCTAGTCAGATTTGTTGGTTTCTGAACCGATAAATCATCTAATTCACAAATTTTGAAAACTTTCAACAAATTTGTGTGCACAAGGAGATTTAAATCCTACTCTTCTACCCACATTTTGAAGCTTTACTCTTTGTTTTCAATAAATTTTATGGATTAAGTTGTAAACTAGTATCCCATTGAAAAGATTTAGATATATCATTAATCAATAGTCTTTCAGATTCATGTGTTGACAAAGGAACAGGTACACCTCGGCATGAGACTATTACCTTATCTCCCAGTTTTCGTGGTGGATTTTATTGTGATCCTAATGGCAAAAGTTGTGTTTGGAGATTTATCAAAGCATGGAATTCATCGCCCAAAGAAAGGTCCCTTCCATATAAAAAACATTACTGGAAGATCTCCGATCCTTGATGTTGGAACAGTAAGCAAGATCAAGACTAAAGAAATTAAGGTAGGTAAAGGTAATTATTGATGCTGGAAATAATATTTGGTTAAATACCTGTTCGGTCCCTTAACTTTTATTTTTAAACCAAATCTATCCTAGAACTTTAAAAAGTACTAAAAATATTTCGATTTTTGGCACCAATTTAGTCCTTTTGTCAATTAAGTGCTGATGTGGCCAAATTCTCCATCACCAATGTCATATTTTCTTAATTTCTATATTACAAAGAAATGCCACATGAATTAAAATACTGATGTAGTAAAATTTATACTTGATGTGGCAATAGACCCAAAAATTCAAAAAAAAAAAAAAAGTCCAGAAAATGGAAAAGTCCGTCATCTTCTTTGACTTCCCCCCTCCTCATCTTCCATCCGAATCCACAAACCCTCTTCCATCTTTGACCACTTCACATAAATCACTCAAATTCCCAACCCTAAATCAAAAGATTTCCTATTGATGCCTCTTGTTATGACTAACCTAGATCTAGATCAATCATGAAAAATCGGTGATTTAAAATATCAATTCAACACAACCCCAAAATTTGGGAAATAAACACAAAAGAAAATGATATTATAACCTTGGCAGAACCCCCAAATTCACTCTCAAAAAATATCAGTAATAACACATCCACCCCTCAGAAACAAACAGTGACAAATTGCCCCTCCAAATCATAAATCAGTACAAATCACCCCTTTTTCAACGTTTTCCGTTAAAAAATGCTAATGTGGCAAACAGAATTCTGACGTTTTTTTGTTGAAAAGGGGGTGATTTGTATTGATTTATGATTTGGAGGGATAATTTGTCCCTGCTTTTTTTTTTAGGGGTGGATGTGTCCCTACTGATATTTTTTGAGGGTGGATTTGAGGGTTTTGCCTTATAACCTCATTATTCAAAATCCCAGAAATCCCTTACCTAGTTACTTTTGTTTTGTCAATTAGCAAACTATGGGGAGAAATTGGTGGTCATGGTTGGGTTGAGTTATGACCTTGTTAGGGATGTTTTCATTATGACTTTATGATGCAACCATGGAGACAAGGAGAGTAGATTTGTCAAAATTGTCCTTTTTGACAATTGTGGCTTGCTTCCGTTGGGTTTATGTGGTAGGTGGGCATGCTAAGAACAAGAATGCTAGAGAGGGATCAGAGAAGGGAGAGGAAGAGGGATGAAGAGAACAATGAAGAAAGGATTAGAGAAGGGAGAAAGAGAAACTAGGAAGGGAGAGGGGAAATCGGGGAAGATGAAGAACATGCTTTATTACATTTATGATTTAATTTATTAATTAATTGATTCTGCCATTTAATTATAACCATTAATTATATAAATATTTAATCATTAATTACATTTTAAATAACTTAATTTATTAAATTGATTTTACTATTTAATTAATATAATGAATCTCATTTTCTATAATTGACTATTAAAATGATGTGGGTCTTATTATCACAAAAGCATAAATTTTAATTCATGTAGCACTTCTTTGTAATATTGAGATTTTAAAAATGACATTTTTAGTGGAGAATTTTGCCACATCAACACTTAATTGATGAAAGGACTAAATTGGTACTAAAAATTGAAGTTTAATGATACTTTTAGTACTTTTTAAAGTTCAATGATAGATTTGGTTTAAAAATGAAAGTTGAGGGACGAAATTTGGGTGTTTAACCATAATATTTCTTACACTTGATTTTTCTTAATTAATTGAACATTTGAAAATATTTATATATAGGTGGTTCCAGCAATATCCAACATTAACAAGAACACTATATTATTTGAGGATGGTGTTCAGAAAGAGTTTGATGCGATCGTTTTCGCCACTGGCTACAAAAGTGTAGCTAATAATTGGTTAAAGGTAATATTTGAGAATAAATTTCCAAGGAAAATTATGATTATACTTTTCAGTTCAATATATCTATAGTTACTTTTCAGTTTAATTATTAAAATTTGTAATTTTAATTACTATTAATTAATTTTAAAAATAATAATTTTTTAATAAATATATTAAATCAAAAAGATATTTGTGTGTCCACGTTTAAAATTTACCTTCAAAACTAAATTGTTACTAGAAATATAATATTATTTAATTTTTTTTTAGGAATTTCAATATGTGCTAAATGAGAATGGCTGGCCCAAAAATAAATTCCCCACTCACTGGAAAGGGGAAAAGAACTTGTACTGTGCTGGATTATCAAGAAGAGGACTTTTTGGTGTGTCAGAGGATGCCAAGGCCATTACTGATGACATCAAAAGAATGGTTATAAGCCAAAAGAAATAAGCAACATATTTTTTCAAAAATGTGTTTAAGTGCTTTTAGGATGAAGCGGCAGCATTCTGCAACAATGTAATGGGTTAGTTCATGTGTTAACCATGCCATAGTTAAATTTGGCATTACAATAAGGTGATATAATTGTTGGTTTTTCCTAGCATTTTTATTTTCTTACAAAATCTCTATGATAGAATATAGTTTGTATTGTAATTGGTTCAATTATTAATACAACTATACTTTTACCAAAAAAAAAAAAAGGGTTTGCTTATAGCCATCCCATGTAATTTTCAAAGTTTGATGAAGAATTTTTACGTTTTATTCGTTGGTATTTTTTGAAAAATTCAATTACTGGCCCTAAACTATATTATTTGGTGAAATCAAGACCCTATAAATTTTCAATTCAATAGCACTTCTTATAAAATAGTAATCAAGGTAATGCCTAAGCCTCTAACTTAACGATCATGCACTAAAGGCAATAGTTAAAGGCCTCAGAGCGCCCTAATTATGTCCACTAGGGATATAGTTAAAGCCACCAACACTTTACTTTTCATTTTATTAAATTAATTTTTTACTCGCTCAATTTAAAGAGATTAATATTCCCCATCACTTTTTTCTTTTCTTGTTTTATGATGAATTATTGTTGGGACCCTTGGTCATATAAGGTTCTTAACTTTTAGGGGCTGTTTGTTTTTATAGTTACTTTCCCCTATAAGTTTATTTAAACTTTTTTCTTACAAGATTATTTATATATTTTATACATTAATACTACAATAAAAGGAGGTTAAAAGTGATATTTTTAAATTTTATTTTTCCTAATATAATTCTTAACCTATAAACTTTTCTACCTACATTTTTTAAAGGAAAAAAATTTTCCCCAACTTTCCATCTATAGGACCACTTGATAATTTTCTTATTAACTTTTCCTAAACTAATTTTTTATTAAAGACAAAAAAGTTAACGATCTAATAAAATTTCATTATAAAAGTTATTAATTTTTATATATTATTTTTCTAATCACTTTACCAATATAAATTTTCTTAGTAAAGTTGGACTTATAACTAAATATGCTCCTAGTTTCTTGGTTTATTTTAAAGAGGGAAAACCTAGATCTTTCTTTAAAATAAAGGTTTTTGCTGGGAAAAAATGTTGAATCTCCGTGAATATTCCCTACTTATATTAATCTAATTGGATTTATTGAGTAGCTGGAACTTTGATACCCCTAGCGATTTTGATATTTCGGGCTTTGGTTTTATTGTTCTTCATTGATACTTGTAGATAAAATTTGACTACTTACCTTCTTTACATTCTTTTAATATAATCAATTATATATTACAATTGTAATTAATTTGCATTATTTTCAATTTGTTAGATTGAAAAAGCTCTAACTTTTCACCCTAACCTTGAATTTTCTAAATTATTAGAACAAATTTACCCATAAAATAATTAAGTATAAAATACAAGGCCACTACTCATGAGGTAAGTTTATCATTATTTACAAATTGCTCATTTCTATAATTTTTCATTAACACAATTCAGTTTTAATTATTGTGATATTTTATATTTTAACATTAACCTTTTTAGGTAGTGTTCAATTTTAACATTAAGTTGTTTATTTATTTTTTCTCATTTAATTTGTAATTAATTTATATTTAATAAAAATTTGCTACAACATTATAATTAATTAATTAATGAAGCAATTTCTAATTTTTACCTTATATTTAGAATTTTTAAATTAATTTTTTATTAAAAAATAACAAAGGAATGTTTCATTTGTGAATGTGTAATAATAACAACAATAACAAAACAACAATAATGTTAAGAAATTAGAAAAAAATACAAGTTAATTACTTTTAAATTTATCATTATTTATCATCTGACATTAAACAGCAATCGTTAAGTATTATATGATTATACAGTGTTAACTCAATATACTCCAAGAGGGGGGTGAATTGGAATTGAAAATTTTTCACCTTTTTGCAACCACCAAACAAAAATCAAAGAGAGAGTAGGGAAGAAGAGCTTGCACAATAATTTTATAGAGGTTTGATCCAACCACTTGGAACTTAGTCCTCTACCTTGGCTTTACTCACCAAGAATTTCCTTCACACTCTCCACAAACAAAATCAACGATGACTTAAATGAGTCACTCAATCCTTTTACAAGAAGATGAGTATTTCTCTCAAACCTCACCCCTTTACAATGTAAACCCCAAGAATCCTCTCTATAGATCACTCTTGAAGGATTAATCACACCCCCAAGATCACTCACAAATAGAACAAGAAGAGGATTACAAGTAAAGATCTCTCAAAGATCAAAAACTCAAGTTGAAGCTCATGTAGGTAAGTAAAGATATTCAATGCAATGCTCTCTAAACTTCTTTAGATCTGTTACCAACCATATTTATAAGCCTTTGCTTGAAAATAGCGGTTTCTAGCCGTTGGGGGTCATTAAATGCTCTGCAGGACACAAAGCTCGAGTTGTAAGATTGTCAGGACAGTCGACTTAACTTCTTAGAGCCAGCTCTGCACAGCCGGCTTACCATTTTTGCAGCTAGCTTTGCGAGATTTTGCATATTCTATTTTCTCCATGGAGCCGACTGTAAAACGCAATGCCAGCTTTGTGGGTTTACTGCACATTTTGTTTTCTTGGACAGCCGACTGCAAAAACATAAACCGGTTTTGGTGTTCCGACTTTAAAACATTAATTAATCTTCAGATAAGTCGACTGTTGTGCATTAAATGCGCTCTTATAGCCAGCTGCAAAGTTAGAGCCGGCTTTGCGTGTTTTCTTCGCACACGCCAAGCAACGGACCTTTAAATCTTTACCCGTAAAGCCGGCTGCAACTTCCAGAGTCGGCTCTCTGCACTTCCATTTCACCAGAGCCAACTCTCTACACATATTCAAGCCTTTCTGGTCCATTTTTAAGTGTAGTCTAAGTTTATTTATTTTGCAATCTTTTGACATTTTAACTACACACTTAAATGAACCAATTAGTCACTCAAATGTGTTTTGTAATCATCAAAATCATAGGTACAACATACAGTTATTAAACTCAATATCTTCTATCTGTTATCCACTATTTATTATCCACTATCCATTACCAACTATTTGTTACCCACTATCCATTAATATGTAATCATTACTTTCAAATTGTTATTCTAAACAGCCCCAAGTGTTATTTTGTTCTACTTTTATCCTTCACTTTTATTTTTAATAGCTACTTCTATCCTTAACTTTTATTGACACGGTCATAATCCAATTTTAATCAAGGGGTTGAATAATAAAATTGGGAGCTCGTGGACCATTTTGCAAAAAGTGTGAAACCTGAAGGGCCGGGAAGAGGAATTAGCAAAATGACATCGTTTTGCTTGTAAGTTGAAATAAAGATAAAGGCTGGGGTTTAGTTGAACCCTAGCCTTCCAAAATTCCAATCTCTCTTGCTTTGCTACCAACTATCTCCAAAATTTCACAAACTCTTCTTGGCTTACCCTAAATGTATTCAAGTTTGGATAGATCATGGCATCAAGAGAAGAGATTTTCTAAGTTTGAAGATAATCAACTAAGAATTCGAAGTTTGCAAGACAAAAGGAGTCCTAGTCTTTAAGAGGTATGTACTTGGACTTGAAAGAGGGAAGATGTGTGAAGGACTATGTCAATTTTATAATTCCCATTCCAAATAGGACTGGATATTAGAATTAAAAAAGGAGTGGGTTTTTTATGTTTGTCTATAAAAAGGGCTTCGACCAACCAAGGAGAACAAGGAAAAAGAGAGAAGAAACCAAGAGGGGGGTAGAGAAAGAGGAAAAAAAGTGGGAAGAAAGATAGAGAGAGCGTGAAAAAAAAGTACAGAAAATTGAGAGGGAAATTGACAGAAAAAGTGGGTAATTGTAGAAGGAGAAGAAGGGAAAATACAGAAGCTTGTACTTGGAATTTCAAGAAACTAAAATTTGATTCTTACCTTCTTACAAGTGTGTATCATTTGTGAAATTCTTAATTTATTCCTATAATTATGTTTTGGTCATATCATTGAATTA